CTGGTGGCGACAGTCATTCTCGCGACCTACATCTTGAGGTCGGGCCAGAAGGGCGATGAAACCGAACATGCCCGGGTAGTTGGACGCCCCTCCCAGTGCCCGATGCGCCTTCAAGTTGTTCTCAACGCGAGTGTGGACAAGATCCGGTTGATGGGGGTGGCCTCCGTCGCTGTAGACAGCCTTCAGTCGCGCGTATGGTCAATGCCGAATGCCTACGGCCATACCTGCGAAGACTGCGAAGTCCTCCAGCAGATTCTTCTCAAGCTCCCTGAGCAGTGGTGCCCCAGTTTTCCTTGCCAAGACGAGTACTTGGACGACGAGCAGCACTGGATATAATGGCCCGTGACCTTCACGGAAAAATAGTTGACGCAAATTGTCTTCGACCATCTTTGCAACAGCACGCCAGACGACGACGAACGCGAGCTGTTTCAGAAGATTCCGATGGAATGCGCACTGATAGCAGGGAAGAGGGAGCGGAGTCGCGCGCTATTACATCGAGGGAGTTGTCGCCCGTGGACGCGAACGAGCTGGACCGCAAGCGTTCTATGCGCCGCGTGCAATACAAGTAGCGCAGTGGCTAGCGGCCTCGCGGCTCCCTGAGCCCACCACTGCCGAATTACCTCGGGGTGTTGAACCCCATTGCCTCGCTCATGGGGGCGGCAGGAGATTCAGCCTCCGCGCCCCCACTCCTCTTGTCTGTCAACGTGTCCTCCCAGCTGAGCGCCGTCTTTCCTGATGACGATCGCGGGGGCGCTGCTGCACACTTACGGATTATCCTACCCGACTCGCCGACCACGACCACGACCACGACTCGCCGACCACGACCACGTCGGCCTCGGGCGGTGTTGATCTACCTCTATGTCATGTTCATGAAGGTCAAGGGCCGCTTGTTTCATGTGGTGAAATCGTCCCCGATTGCTTCATTGGCTCCGCTTTCCTGCAGAACGCCCCCGGCAGTCACGACTTCAACAGCGGCGCCCTTAGCTACGACACCGTGCGCGACACGGCCCATCACCTCCTCAACGGCATGAGTCCAAACCAGGCCCGCGCGTGGGGGGGGCCAGCCGCGTCGGCGACAGGCGCGGCTAGTCGGGGAGACGTCGTCTTCTCTTCCACGTTGGGCTCCTCCTCCTCCTGCTCATCCTCATCCTCTTCCTCTTCCTCTTCCTCTTCCTCATCCTCCTCCACCTCCTCCTCATCCTCATCCTCCTCTACGTGCTCCACCGTACTCTCCATGTCCGCCCTCTCACATCATGCTTCCGTTCCTGCTCGTCGTCGTCCTCCTCCTCCTCCTCATTATCCTCCTCCTGCTTTTCCTCATCGTTTTCCTGTTGTTTCGTGCGGGCCTTCACCCAACCCCTGCGGGGCCAGGGCTCGGTGGCGGCGAAACGGGGCGCGCAAGAACACGACGGTGGAAATCAGCAGCAGGAACCAAACAATCAGCAGCAGCTTGTCCTCCTCAACCGGGTGATATTCGGGAGAGGGCGGACGCGGCCTCCGCTCACCTTGAGCACCTGGCAGGCGGCTACACGCAGCTGGTACTGGAGTCTCTGGTGCAGTGTCTCTGCCATGCGGCAGCTGCTGCGACGACAGCGGCAGCGTGCGAGATTCCACAGAGGGGCGACTCGAACCCGACAGCCAGGCAGTCTGCGTCGCCATGCGGGACCCGCATGAGATCACGAAGCTGGAAACAGACCACTGAAGCAACATCTTGTTCATAATATGCGATCAGGAAGCTATCCGTCCACGGTCCGTCGAGCTGATCACGGCCCTGGTCAGTGCGGCGAGACGGGGAGGGGCGGCGTGCAAGGCGAAAGGTGTCAACGGCGTTGAGGCCAATGACACGGCGCTCCTCGCAGTCACGAGGAGCTCGCAGGTATCCCCCGCCAGTGCAGGTCGCACGTGGCGCGGCCTTCGCAGTTTCGCGCGACCCCGTCGGCTTGAACAGCGAAGCCACATTGAGATGTTGAGAAGGAATGGAGACGGCCCCGTTCCCTGTCAACTTGTGGCCACGAGCTGGGGAAAAGCTTTCTGCGTTCCCTGCGTCCAGGGAGACGGGTTTTCCAGGTCGCGGAGACGCGCGGGTCGTCGGCCATCCGCGCAGCGCTGTTATGGGCGCGACCATGGACGAGACGGGTCAGATCCAGAACGTCGCGTCCCTGGCTTTATTCAATCGCTTCGCTCATTCCGCCGGCCCTGGAGCGCTATTCGGGGCCTCTTGGGGCCGTCTTGGAGTGATGGTGTATCTCTACCCCAGGTTGGGGAGCGCGGTTGGGCTGCCTGCGGCATGAGGAGCATGGCAACGGGATGTGGACACGGAGTCTCGCTGCCCAAGCTGGCGATCCACCTTGCTTCTGAGAAGGTGCACCCGACGACCCCGACCGCGGAGCCACTCGGAGCTCTCGGTGGCCCCGACAGCTGCAGAAAGGGAAGGGTGGCGGGACACGGGACGGGTCAGGAGGCACGCGTTCGGGTGATCCTCGGCGGCAGCGCCGGGGAGCAGCGGTTGTCGCACGTGGTCCAGACGGCCAGGCCAGGGGCGTTGACGGGGGCGGTTTGGGCGGTCCCGCTGGCTGGCTGGCCGTCGTCCGACGTTCTGAGATGGCCTTCTGTCGGCTTCTGGGGAAAGAAGACTAAAGGCGATGTGGCTTTCGTGGCATACCGTTTGGATCTCGCTGGGCATTGGCAGCCAATTCCGAACCAGAGCTGCCAGGCGCCAGGAGGACCACTGGGATCTGGCTCGGAAGTCCTGGGAGCGTAGATCCGGCAGGGTGGAGGTGGTTCGGATCCATCCCCATCCAGACGAGAAGCAGCACTTGTTCGGAGAGCGAGTTGCTTCTAGTTATAGAAAATATGCCTACCGATGTCTGGGCGGGGAGGGCGGCGTAGTTGGCACGGCACGAGAAGGTGGCGGCGGATCTTCCTCGGACGGATGCCGTTGACTCGAGCTCGCCGTTGATTGATCCACGTCACAGCGGCAGGAAAGGTAGGCCGTGCCGAGAGAGCGGCTCTGGTTAGACGGCACGCCCAGTCGAGAGTTGCCCGTGCTGTGGTGGCCTCGGATCATTCCCTGCAGGATCGAGTCAGCATGTGGAGTTGTAGGAGATGTTTGCAGTCGGCCGCGCGTTCGAGCTGTATGCGAGTGGCTGTGCCCCTCCGATCCTCCGCCGGCCTCCACCCTCTTCGACGTGTGCCCAGGAATTGGCATCAGCGTGACGGGCGATGTCCCGCACCCGACAGGCGCGTTGGGTTGGGCTGATGTTTGATTCCGAACGCTTTGTCGCACGTGCGGTATTTCGCGACAGTCGATCCGCGACACGTGCTGGGCCCGCGCCACCCTGCGATTCGGAGAGGCGCGGCAGACCGCTCAAAGTGTCTCCACCCCCATCGGGAGGGGCTGCCTGCAGCTGCGAGGGCTGCGACGGCGGTCCGCCCTGAGGCGAGAGCTATCAGCAGCCACAGCGCCCCGCTGAGCGCAGGCGAGATGGGCCCTGTGCATTGCGGAGTTCCATCGGGAGTGGAGGCCAGGAGGCCCACGGCGTGGGCTAGCCGCCGTCGAGCGGCGGCGCCGGGGAGCGGAGAGGGGGGGAGCCCCCCCCCTCGCGGTCTCGTCGCCAGTTGCCGCCTCGAGGTTGCACCCGCGTCTCGGGGCGACCCGACTTACTGGCGCTGTGCACCACATGTGTGTGCGTGTGCTTCTGCGCCAGCGTACTGGGGATACCTGACCTCCAGGCTCTGTGACACCACCTGTGTGTGTGTGTGCTTCTTCGTCCCCCCCCCGTGCATCGCGGCCTAATTCGCGTTCGTTTGTTCTACCAACGCCCTATCCGCCAGCGCAGTCCTTCTGCCTAGCCGGCGACGTAAAAATCGTGTGCTTCTTCGCCCGCGCGCACACTTCCCCCTGAGGGGCCCAGCGAGGCATCGTGGTCGAGGGAGGGGTGCGCAGGGCTCGCGCCCTCCGGGGTCCTCCTCCGCAGTCGCGACATCGTCGCTCGGCCCGGAATCTTGGAATTTTGCTCGCCCTCCTCCTCCTCCTCCTCTTCCTTCTCCTCCTCTTCCTCCTCTTCACCCATTCCCTTTCTCCTCCCCCCTCTTCCTCAGCTACTCCTCCAATGTACGCAGCTCCCCTTCCAAGATGGCGCTTAACACAATGCCGTCGCCATTAGGGCTCAAGGGCTGGCTTCTCGGGCGCCCGCCTGTCCGCGGTGCCGCGCGGGCCGCGTGTCGGGTCCAGGTTGCGGACGTTGACCGTGGGTGGTGCGATGAGGGGCGTGGCCCCGGCTGGTGAGCCTGCGCAGCGTGGACCAGCGGCGGCGAGGAGCGTGGAGGATTTCGTGGACATCACAGTGGAGAGAGCCGCCCCCCTGAGGATATTCGACAAGCTCAAGGGGACACAGGACTGCTACGTGCAGCTCCTGCGGCAGAGCCGAAGGGCAACGAGAAAGAGATCGGCAGGACCATGACGCCCCGGGGCGGGGACAAATCTCCGTACTGGGGTGAGAAGTTCAAGTTCTGCCGAGGCAGCGCCCAGAAAATCGTCTTCAGGGTGGTCGCGGAGCACTTCTGGCGCCAGGACGTGGTGTGCGGGGCTGTCCATGGACCTGGACGAGTGCAACCTCTGGAACCGGGTACTGGCCGGCGAGCTCCTCAACACGTTCTCACTTGTGGGGTTGGTCAAGAGGAGCAAGAACTCCGGCACCCCTGAGAAGACCGGCTCCTTGTTCATCTGCATGACGAAGTGCACGCAGAGGTCCATGGACGGCCGGCTCGACGCCTTCGAGAAGGGCGGCCGCTCCCAGGACACCAAGGAGGGGCTGTAGTAGCTGCTCAACAAACCAGAGGAGTTGGAGATCTGCGTCAGGCACCGCTTCCAAGAGACGACCAAGCAGACTGGGCGCAATGGGGAGGCTGCCGTGGGCCCAGAAGCCGTCCAGCAGCTCGTCGGCGAGATATCGCAGAGGCTGGGCGTTCCAAAGGACACCTTCTGCGACATCGGGCAGATGTTCTGGAGATTCGAGGTCTCAGGCGAGAAGCTCATCGACGAGGAGGAGACCGTACGCCTGGTGGTGTACATGCTGCGGCAGTACCGGGATGCCGTGAGCCCCCAGAAGGGAGCCGTGCAGCTCAGCGGCGGCATCAGGTACATGAACGTCGCGGACAAGTACAACGTTTCCAAGGAGCTGGGCAGAGGCGGGCAGGGCGTCGTTTACCTGGCCACCGACAAGGCCAACAACGGCCAGGAGGTGGTTGTCAAAATGTACGACAAGACGAATCAGAAGGAGGCGCAGGAGTCGATAACGCAGAGTTCGAGCTGCTCATGGACATGAAGCATCTCAAGATCGCGCGCGTGTTCGAGATCTTCCAGGACTGGGAGAACGTCTACATCGTCCAGGAGCCCTACGTCGGCGGCGACCTCACCACGGCCGTGACCAAGGCGCACACGGCCGGGGTGTGCGGGTGGACGAGCGGTGGCTTGCGGGCGTGTCGCATCAGGTACTAGCAGGCGTTGAGTCCCTGCACAACAACGGCGTGGTGCACTCCGACCTCAAGGAGGCCAACGTGATGGTGGCGGGCAGGGAGGCCTGGCACGCGCCGCAGGTGACAGTGATCGGTTTCGGCCTCGCCAACAAGTTCAGCGCCAAGTCGGGCGTCGGCGGCACGCCCGGCCACATGCCACCCGAGGGCTGGAACGACGGCCTGTGGACGCCGCGCGGCGGTGTGTTCTCGGTCGGGGCAACGATCTGTACCCTGAGGAACGGCAAGCACCCGTTCTACCCACCGGGCTCGCCCGGTCTGGAGGAGATCGCAGAGCTGACCAAGGCTGCACAGCCGGGTACCATGGGCTCCCCACCGCTGCACAGGCTGATACGCGCCATGCTCGAGAAAAACGTCCTCGCCAGGCCCACGTCCAGCCAGCTGCTCCACGAGGAGTGGTTCGAGTCGGACAGAATGCAGAGGCAGAGGAAAACCGAGCTGTAAAGGGCCCTCCTCACGGACATCGTGAAGCCGCAGAACTTGGCGCAGCTGAGGGAGCTGAACGACCTCTTCATGACGCTGGACACCAACAACGACGGGACGATCACTGCTGGCAAAGTCCGCTCGGCCCTCAGCGGCAGGTGGACCCCCGGGGACGTGGACCGCCTCGTTTCCTGCCTGCTGCCGCCAGGCGCGCAGGAGGCGGAGGAGCTCTCTTACGACGAGTTCATGGGCGCACTGATGGCGTCGCAGGCCGCGGACGAGGAGAGGATGCTGCGCAAGCTCTTCGGCGAGGCAGACGAGCAGCGCCCGGGCTGGCTCGGCGCCGCGGAGATCACGGAGCTGGCCAGGCGCCCTGCGGTGAAGCGCATGCTCGGCGACCGCCCGGCCTCGTCGCTGACGGAGGAGATGGACCTCGACGGGGACGGCAAGGTGACGTTCCAGGAGTTCTGCCGCGTCGTGCAGGCGGAGAAGCCAGAGCACAGCGCCGGCAGGCCCACCGCCACGAAGACTGGCAAGTACGTGGCGGCGCAAGCGGTGCAGTTCCGGTCCAGCTCGTAGAACACGTGGGGGACCTGCGCTGTCCTGGCTGTGGACCCCGGCACAGGCTCCGTCCAGGTCGACCAGAAGCCTGGCTACTGGCTGCAGGGGGAGGGGCTGTCCAGGCGGCTGCGGGCGAAGGGCCGTCCTGCGGGCTACTGCCAGGGTCAGGAGGTGCTCGTGTGGTCTCAGAGCTTCCACACCTGGATCCCACGCAAGGTCGCTGAGGTCGACCCGGGCATGGGCGCCGTGCAGGTGGACCATAAACCCGGCTATTGGTTCCGCGGGCACGAGCTCGAGACCCGCCTCAAGCACCACTCGGACCACAGCACCCCGTCGCCCGCCGCAAGGACGGCCGGCCTGGGGAGGGCCCTGTTCGAGGCGGCGGTCAGCGGGCTCTCGGCCGACGGCAGGCCGGGGGGCGCAGGTGGCCGCGCGTACGCTGGCCAAGGCGCTGGGCTCGCCGGCGGCTGCAACATGCACGGCTCGTGAGTCGACTTGTTCCGGATGCAGGGGGGCGTGTCCCTGTGACCATGCTGTCATTGGCACGCGCGGCCGCGGAAGAGGAGCAGGACTGTCGCAGGCCTCGAGGTTGACACCAACACCAATATCGGCGGCGTGCCTCCACCGAGGGAAGAAGATCCCAGTCCCGGTGATGGTGGTAATAGTTTGGCTTCCAAGGTGGCCGACATGTTACCACCAACACCTAGGATCGAAGGCCGCGGCCTGGGCCCGCCTCGCGCTCGGCAGCCCATGGTCGCGGAGCTGAGCGGCGCCGCCGGGCAGCCCCGCCCCACAGGCGCGCCGCAGGCGGCTCGGGGCGGGCTGCCGCGGGCCGCGGGCGAGCACGGGGCGCGGCGTGGTGGGGGGGGGAAAGAAAAAACGCGGCTCAACACAATGGGGTACTTTTGGGGGACTTCCAGCTCCGCTGTGGCATGCGCCGGCGGATGGAGAAGAGACCAGCGCAGTGGGAAGGGATGGGGTGAGAGAGGATGTCATGTGGGGCGTGAGCGCACCCAGCTTGTCCTCCGCCCTGAGGCAGGCTGCAAGGCGCACGCACCTGGAGCGTAAGTGATCGCGGCGTCGGCCGCGGAACGCAAGCACTTGGCAAGGCAGGTGGCTTAATGATGTTGCCGCACCCCCAACTCGGGCAGGGTCGCGCTGTAAAGGACAGAGTCCCACCAGGGCACGAGCAAGAGCAGTGAGCGCCTCCACGGGCTCGGTGGCGTACACAGGAGGGCAGAGACGTTGTGGGATGGCGGGCGCAGAGAGCACCTTCTCCACCACAATCCTCCAAAACGTCCAATCCCACAAGAAATCGAGCAAGTGAGCAGGAGAGACTGAGCAGGCAGGCGCACAGCAGGCAGCCGCGCTAGGCCAAGACAGCGTGACCCAATGCTCAGCTTCAGACAGTGGGCGACGGCCGACCTGTGCAAGGGCAGTGCCTTCAGGTAAGGCGGCCGCCTCCCTGGAGTGTGGAGACGCTGTGGGATGGTCGGCGAGAGCACCTCCTCCAAACATCCCATCACTGCAAAGCTACCACCCACATCCCAGAAGACCAGCAAGGAAAGCGAGAGTGACACCTGAGGCGTCCAGTGCTGCTTGGCCACTGCAGCTAGGCTCGGACACCGTGCCATCGCTAAGACAGGCTGACAGGCCGAAGATGAGCAACAAGACACAGCACGCAAGCAACAATCCGAGGGAGAGAGAGAGAGAGAGAGGAGACGAGAGAATGTACAACGCAAGATGATGGTGATGGTGATGGTGATGGTATTGGTGTTGGTGTTGGTGTTGGTGGTATGATGGTGGTGATGATGGTGGCAGTGATGGTGATGGTGATGGTAATGGTGGTGGTGATGATGACGATGATTATGATGATGATGACGATGATGATGATGATGATGATGAGGATGAGGATGAGGATGAGGATGAGGATGATGCTGATGATGGTAATGGTAATGGTAATGGTGATGGTGATGGCGATGGTAACGGTGCTTGTGAGCGTGATGGTGATGGTGATGGTGATAATGATGATGCTCATGATGTTTAGCGCATGCAATGATCTCATGATGCTCATGATGTTTAGCGCATGCAATGATCCACAGAGGGGAAGAGGCACCAAAGGGCGGCACTCTGAGAGGGCCGTTGTACCCAGGGGGGCCCTAGGAGTAGCGTTCGATGTATGTGTGTATGTGTGTTTGGGTGTTCGTGTGAGTGCGTGTGTGTGTGTGTGTCTTTGTGTGGTTATGCCTGTTTGTGTATGTGCCTGCGTGCCTGTGTGTATGTGTGTCTGTGTGTCTGTGTGGGGGTGTTTGGGTGTGTGGGTGTGTGGGTGTGTGTGTGGGTGTGTGTGTCGGTGTGTCGGTGTGTCGGTGTGTCGGTGTGTGTGTGTGTGTGTCGGTGTGTGTGTGTGTCGGTGTGTGTGTGTGTCGGTGTGTGTGTGTCGGTGTGTGTGTGTGGTTGTGCGTGTGTGTGTGTGTGTGGAAGTGTGTGGGTGTGTGGCTGTGTGTGGGAGGGTATGTGGGCGTGTGGGCGTGTGAGCGTTTGGGCGTGTGGGCGTGGGGGCGTTTGGGTGTGTGGGTGTGTGGGTGTGCGTGTGCGTGTGTGTGTGTCTGTGGGTCTGTGGGTCTGTGGGTCTGTGGGTCTGTGGGTCTGTGGGTCTGTGGGTCTATGGTGTGGGTGTGGTGGGTGTGGGGGTGTGTGGGGGTGTGGGGGTGGTGGTGTGGGTGTGGGGGGGTTGGGGGTGTGGGGGTGGGGGTGTGGGTGTGGGGGGATGGGGGTGTGGGGGTGTCGGTGTGGGTGTGTGTTTTGGTGTGGGTGTAGATGCAGATGTGGATGTGGGTGAGTATGTCGCTGTGTTTGTTTCTGTGTCTGTGTGTGTGTCTGTGTCTGTGTCTGCGTTTGTGCCCAGCGTAATGCGAAGGGATTGGTGGAAGGGGTAGGATGTCAGATGTGGCGCGAGCGCATCGAGCTTGCCCCTTTACCCATCTCCTCTCCCATCCGTCTGACCGTCTCCTCTTCCACCCTCCCCAGTCGTTCTTCCCTCCCGCCCTTCTCCCGCTTGCTCCTTGCGCGGCGCTCCTCTCGAGCCTCCCCCTCCTGTCGCTGCGGTCGCTCGACGTCGTCGCCGTCGTCGTTTGCCTTCGTCGTCGTCGCCGTCGGCGCTGATACCTTTCCCCTCCGCCCCTCCGCGGGTGCGCTCGGGGCCAGCCTGGAATCCTAGAGTCCTGCTCACCCCGTAAGCACGCTGACGGCGATGTAGGCAACGACGATGTAGGTTTCGGCATTGTGGGAACGCGTGGCTCGCGCTTTCCTCCCACTCGCTGTGTCGCTTCCGCTCGATGCATCTGCACATTAGAGATGTCGGAAGGGGGTGGATCGTGACTTCCTGCAGGCTGGTTCCCAACACCACCGTGAAGCAGCATCGCCGTCAACGCGGCCCTGCGCCCCCTCCTCCGCAGGCCGGGTCAGCTGGGAGCACCAGCCCTCCCCGCCGCACGCCTTCGGGGCCCCCAGCTTCAGGGCCCCCAGCTTTGGCTTCAGGGCCCCCTTCAGGGCCCCCAGCTCTGGCTTCAGGGCCCCTTAGCTTCAGGGTCCCTGGCTTCAGGGCCCCCGCACCAGCCCTCCCCCGCCGCTCGCCTTTGGGGCCCCTGGCTTCAGCTTCGGCTTCGGCCGCCGGCCGCCCCCCCCCCCGCCCAGGGCCCGCCCGCCTGCGCCTGGCCACGAGCCCCGCGGCCTGGGCGCACCGCCCAGCCCGCCGGCCGGTCGCCGCCGGCGCCGCGACCATTGCCGTCGTCGTCGCCGTCGGAGGAGGAGGAGGGAAGGAGGAGGAGGAGGAGGAGGAGGAGGAGGAGGAGGAGGAGGAGGAGGAGGAGGTGCGAAAAGCGAGGAGGAGGAGGAGGAGGAGGAGGAGGCGCAACCCTGCCGAAGCTCAGTGAGGCGCGCGCGCGGGCGCCGGCACAGGCCGGGCTTCGGCGCTCGCGCAGGAGGAGGAGGAGGAGGAGGAGGAGGAGGAGGAGGAGGAGACGGAGGAGGAGACGGTGGAGGAGGGGAGGAGGAGGAGGAGGAGGAGGGGAGGAGGAGGAGGAGGAGACGGTGGAGGAGGAGGAGGAGGAGGAGAAGAAGAAGGAGAAGACGGTGGAGGAGGAGGAGGAGGACGGTGGAGGAGGAGGAGGAGGAGGAGGAGGAGGAGGAGGGGAGGAGGAGGGAGGAGGAGGGAGGAGAAGGAGACGGTGGAGGAGGAGGAGACGGTGGAGGAGGAGGAGGAGGAGACGGTGGAGGAGGAGGAGACGGTGGAGGAGGAGGAGGAGGAGGAGGAGGAGGAGGAGGAGGAGGAGACGGTGGAGGAGGAGGAGGAGGAGGAGGAGGAGGACGACGGTGGAGGAGGACGAAGGCTAGGGAGGCGATGACCAGGAGGACGGGGAGGAGGGGGCGAAGACGGGAGCGGGAGGCGTGGGAAGCGAGCGGGGGGGCGCTGGCCTGCCACTCAAGCGAGGGCCCCGGTGCCAAAAGTGCTCGCCCTCCGCACGTCTCGAGGCAGGAGGGTGGAATGAGATAGCTAGAACGATACAGTTCGAGGGAGTGTCCGTCGTGTCCATCGAGAGCTTCTGGTCTTGACCAAAAGTCAAGGGAGGAAAACGCACCCGGACCGGAAAAGTCCCGTTTACTAAACGGCCTTGGGCGTTTATTAAACAGCCATGCCTTGTTCGATTCCTTCAGTGGGGGCGTTTAGTAAACGACTTCGCGTGTCGGGGGGGTTATTATTGGGGTGGATTTTTGACTTCCAAAAAGATTACACCCTTCCAGCTGAGGACCCTACAGAAATGGTTTTAGCCATGGGCCCGAAAGGGAGGGATGGACGGAGACGCCTAGAGCGACCAGAGCGCACAGTACTATAAAGGTGTTGTGTATCTTTGTGTGCTACTGCGCAGTATGATGAAGTACCGTATTTCCTCGACCGCCGTGTGCACGACCATTACGAATACCTATACGACCACCCTGCGAGTGATAAGGAGGTTGGGGGGGAGGGGGGCCAGCAATGGGCAACAGTGGTGATTGTTGCGTTGCCGCTCGCTCTTGGGACCATCGATCCCACTATCGATCTCACTCGGTCGATCTCACTCGATCGATCTCACTCGATCGAATTCACTGTCGATCTCACTCTGGATCTCGATATCGATCCCACTATCGATCTCCCTATCGATATCACTCGATCTCACAATCGATATCACTATTCATCTCACTATCGATCTCACTATCGATCTCACGATCGATCTAATTATCGGTCTCGCTATCGATCTCACTATCGATCTCACAATCGACTTCGTCATCGGTCTCACTATCGTTTTCGCACCAGCGGGACACCGGCGGGACACCGGCGGGACACCGCTTGCCGGAGGGAGAATCATTTGGTCCGGCCGGGACCCAGCCACAAGCGGGACACCGGCGGGACACCGGCGGGACACCGCGGGTCACCGCTTGCCGGAGGGAGAATCATTTGGTCTGGCCGCGCCTCAGCCACTGGAGATTTTCCTCTCGCCCGCCCACGCAGCTTCGCCTCGCCCGCGCGCACGGCACGCACGAACACGAAACCGAAACCGATTTCTCGGTGGGGGGCTCTCCGTTCCACTTCGATCTCACCCCCCAACCTCCGACTAATACGACTGCGAGTACGAACGCAAAAACGCATGCGATTAGTAATCGTATTAGTAATGCGAGTACGAACGATACTAAAACGACTGGAGGTCACGGGATGCCACGGGAGACCAAGGCGCCCGACCGATTGCAGATTCAGTGATCCCCGTATTGGGCTCCTTGGAAGGATCATTCAGTCAGGCTGTTTAGGCAAACGCATCCGTGTGGCTGTTGCACTTGTTCTCCATGGTGGCTTGTGTAAGTACGAGGGAGTCTAAAGCGAGAGCCCCGTTTTGAAACAGAGCCCTCCTCCGTCCGTGCACGTGCTGCACAATTCTATAGTATAGCTGTCTGAGGCGCGAGCCCGCCGTCCTTAGAAAGGTTTGGGGGACAACTTGAAGACGCACGTGTGCGGCACCAAGGCGGGATCCCCACGTTGAAAATTGTACTGGCTTCCTCCAACTGTGCACCAGGCCACCCCCGGCGACGCGAAGATTGACGCGCTTCGCGCGTCGCGGTCCCGGCCACGAGCCGCTGCGCTTCTGCAAGGCGGCGCGATGGTGCGAGGGCGCGAGGGCGCGAAGCTAGCCGCGCGTCGCGCATCGCGGGGCGCGATGTGCAAAGCTGGGTGGCCCAGGTGCGCCTGCTCGAACCTCTCGGGGCGAGCCTGCGCGGCGCTGCGGCGAGAGCCACAGGCAGCAGACCGAGCGAAGCCCTCCCTGCGCCGCGCGGGCGCGCACCGCTCGCCTCCCGGCGCGGCCTGCCCCCCGCCGCCATGCTGGCGCTCCCGGCGGCCGCGGCGGCGCTGCCGCGAGTTCCCCGCCGTGGCCCCGCCCGGGCGGCGGCTGCCTGCTGCGAGGGGCCCGCTCCGCAGCACCTGCCGCGGCCGGGCGGGGGCGCGCTGGCCTTCCGCCACGTGCCCGGGCGCGGGCCGGGGGTGGTCCCTCGTTTGGGCCGAGGGGCAAATCGAGGTCCAGAGGGGGGTGATGGCCAAGGCGGGGGGCGGGGATCTCGTGGCGGGGGCCACGAGGTCCCCCCAGATTTCACGGCGCCTCCTCTTATTTCGGTGCGTCCCCGCCAACCCCCCCCCGAGCCGCGCACATGCCGCTGGCCATGATCTGCGCACCCCCCTCTTGGACGCCCCCGTCTTGGACGACCCCAACACAAGGCGGCAGAAATCACTCTTGTCAGCGGCGTCTCGGGTCCGAGCTACGGCGGCGGCCTGCGACGCATGCGAAGCAAGCTGCGGCACGGGCGGGGGGAGGCAGGACGGAAGCGGGGAAACGTGCCGCGGGATGGCTGGAGCACCCTCAGAACGTCTCCTCCTCCTCCTCCTCCTCCTCCTCCTCCTCCTCCTCCTCCCCCTCCTCCTCCTCCCCTTCCTCCTCCTCCTCCTCCTCCTCCTCCTCCTCCTCCTCCTCCTCCTCCTCCTCAGAACGTCGGGCTGTGCCCGAGGAAGGCATCAACAGAAATTGTCGGAGCTCCGCGCGGGTTGCTTGGATCGGCGCTGGGTCTCCCTGGCGGGACCTCCGGCGCCGCCCCTGGCGCGCTCCGCGCGCCAGGAAGGGAGCGGCTCTGGATGGTTGGAGGGAGAGTTGTGTCAGCTTTCTGGTGCAAGGGACGCTTCGCGCTCTCGACGGAGCGCTCCTCAGCCACATGTCTGCGACGGCATGCTTGCAACGGGATGGCGGCAATGAGCTCACTGACGGCAAAATCGACAGCGTCTTGTTGCCGTTCTCCCGTTGCCTTCCGTACAATCAACCCGCATAGTAAGGATGGGCAACCGTCCCAAGGGTACCCTTGCATCCTTGCCCCTTCGGCACATCCTTAGCGATTTTCGCTGGCCAACCTCGTTCGAAGAACGTGAACATGGCCCTCCAAGGCCCTTGCATCCTTACCGCACATCCTCATGATACGGGTTGACTGTAAGCTCAATGCTGCCATTCCGATTTCAAGGCGGTGCGCCGCATCTGCGACCACCTGCGATGCTTGCCGCGGCGGGTCCTCTCGACGCAGGGGTCTCGGGCACCCGCGTGGTTGATCCGCTTGGCCGTGCGCCCCCCCTCGAATTCGGAGCCCCCGTCGTTCGCCTCAGAGATCTGACCTGCAGGGATAGTCGGCCACGCGCAGACGGTGGCACAGTCAACCTGCATAGTAAGGATGGGCAACCTTCCCAAGGCTACCCTTGAATCCTTGCCCCTTCGGCCCATCCTTGGTCACTTTCGATGACCGCGCCCCTCTCACAAAGCTTTGACATGACCTTCGAAGGCCCTTGCATCCTGGGGGGAAGGCTTCTTAGAAGCACCACTGCTTCTTGGAAGGAGCGGGCCTTCTCTATGGAGGCAGGGCCGGCGCCGTCTGAGAAGCAGCCTCCTTCTAAGAAGCAGTCCCCCCTCCCCCTTTACCCCCCTGCGCGCGCCAACAAAACAGGGTTCACATTTTGGTGCCTAGCGCAGCTGGGGACAGGGCGAAGGGGCGGCCTTCACAGAAGGCCCCCGCTACTCGGAGGGTGCGGAGCGTGTGGTTCTGAAGGGGGCGATCCCTCCCAGGACCCCCCTTGCTCTCTCAGGAGAAGCCGCCCTCCTCGCACAGCGCCCTTTGCTCGCCTCCGAGGTCTACTGCCCCGGGTTCATGTCGAGCATGGTGGGCTCGAAGGCTCTGGCTCTCGAGGAGTGGTGCCGCGGGCAGGGCCGGCAGTTCACTCGCTTCGACTACGCCGGCTGCGGCCAGTCCTCAGGGGACTTCGCCGAGGGCACGCTGGGGAGCTGGGCCGACGACGCGCTGGCCGTGCTGGACACCGTGACGGATGGCCCGCAGGTGGTGGTCGGGGCTTCCATGGGCGGCTGGATCATGCTGCTGCTGGCGCTGCGCCGGCCCGAGCGCGTCGCTGGCCTCGTGGGCGTGGCAGCAGCTCCGGACTTCGTCCTGCGCTGGCAGCGGCTCCTGGACGACCACCAGCGCCAGGCCCTGGAGAAGAACGGCTGTTTCTGGCGCCCCAGCAGGTATTCGGAGGAGCCATACTTGGTGACCCGGCAGCTGCTGGAGGAAGGCCGAAGTCACTTGCTGCTGCAAGGGGACAAGCAGATCGCCATCACGTGCCCGCTCCGACTGCTGCACGGAATGCGAGATCCTGACGTACCTTGGCAGGCGTCGTTGGAACTCTGCTCGAGGATCGCGCACGACGACGTGGAGGTGCGGCTGGTGAAGGCCGCGGACCACCGCATGTCCCGGCCCGAGGACCTCCGAATGTTGCTCGCGGTCGTGGAGGAGCTGTGCGCACGCGCTGGCGAGTGAGCCACGACGAGATCTTCGAGTTGGACCAGCTGCTTTGGCACTTGCGCTCTCTACAGTGGATGGCGGCCTCAGTGGATGTCGGCCTCAGTAGACGTCGGTGGAGCCGCAGATGCGCCGTGCAGCTTCGCGGGCGACGGCAGCAGCCTTGAGCGTCGGGGGAGCCGCCGATGCGCCACGCAGCTCGGCTGGCCGGCGCAGTGCCCCTGCCGCCAGAGCCGGAGCTCTGAGGAGGCCCTCGGCCGAGGCCTCGTGCGATGCCAGGCAGACGGCGGGGCGTTGGCGTCGCCACGCGGCGTCGGCCCGCCAGGCGACCGCGCCGCCCGCGTGGCCTGCTTGCCAGAAGTGCCACGGCGGCTGAGATATACTCCTGCTCTTGGTTCCGATCCCCGATGATCATCTCATCATGTCCATGGGATATCACAAGGACTGTGTGCCCATCTCCACCAGTGTAGCCCAGGAGTAACGTTAAAGTTACTGTGGACTTGTGGGAGACAGATTTGCCCCGCGCCTTCTGCTTTCGCTCCCAGACGGCCCGTAAGACCCCCGGAAGCACGACCGGAACCGCCGAGGGCCGCCCCTGGAGCTCTCCGGGCGCCCCCTTGTTGCGTGCGTTTGCGTTGGCCAAGACCAAGACTGAGCCCGACACCGCAACACGCACCCATTCTGTCACTTCTCTGCGCGTGCCTTCGACATCCAGCGCGACGCTCCTGGGGCGCAGTTCGCTATGCGCTTTCCGTACTCATGGGCCCTTCGGGTTCCCCCAGGCGGAGGCGGTTCTCGGGCGTGCTCGGACACTTCTGGGTGGGACGTCTTCTGTCTTGCGTTTTCCAGCTACCTCCGGCTTTGGCGCGAGAGCGTGGATAGGGGGGATGGGCTAGAAGGAGGAGGAGGGGGAGAAGGAGGAGGAGGAGGAGGAAGAGTGGCCAGGAGTACAACGGAGAGAAAGAGCAGATGTAGGAGGAGCAGGGCGAGAAAAGGATGAGCAGGAGCACGAGCAGGATTTGGAGCCATGCGGGAGTACCACTTTGAGGCGAAGCCCTGGGGGAGAGCGACATTCTGCCCGCTTGCGCGCGACCCCGCTGTCGACGATTGGCGAGCGCTACATGTGCTCCGCGCCGCAGCGGGGGCTCACCTCTCTGGAAAAGGAAAGGAGCGCGACGCCGAGGCGAGGGCGAGCTCTCGCCCTTTCGCGCGCGATGTGTGCCCCGTCCCGCTCCCGCCAAGCCTTCTGCAACGTCGAGGACACAGCGTCCCTGCTGAAAAGACGAACGTCGATGTTGGTTACGGTGGGGGCCCATGCCAAGAAGCACCCTGCTTGCCTCCAGGGTGCCCCGAGTTTCTCGGATTTCGATGGTTTTGCGATGGAGAGCGCGACGTTCCCACATCAAAAATCGATGGACGCCTTGGGGTCTCAGGGTTGAGCTTCTGGTGGAAGGTCTCTTGTGGCGCGGCCTCCACAGTGTTGCTGTTGATGGGTAGGATGGAATGTCCTGGATTGGCCAGCTATCGGCCAGCTGGGGAGGAGGAGGAGGAGGAGGAGGAGGAGGAGGAGGAGGGAGTATACAATGATAAAAGATGGAGGTCAAGCTGACCAGCCCCAACGATTCGCTTCGGCCGGCCTTGCCCGCTCCGACTTTCCCTCCCAGATAGTTGGGTGACCTCCAGCCAGTGCCGCCGATCCGGAGCGCTCCGGATGCTGGTGGTTGGCACGACGACGACGACGACGGCGACGGCGACGACGACGACCTCGACGACGACGACCTCGACGCCGACAACGGACGACCAACGACGAACGGGAGGAGGGAGACGGGAGGCGGGAGGCGGGCCAGCCCCAACGATTCGATTCAGCATGCCTTGCCCACTCCTACCCTCCCTCCCAAATATGACAGCCGAGGTTGGCGCAAATGGACATGTGGGCAGGCGCGCGTTTCCAGTTAGCGAACTGAAGGCGCTTGCGCGCGAGTGACATCGCTTCCGGCGACGTGGTGGAGGAACTGAAGTAAAAGCAACGTTCCGCTCGTTGGCGTGCGGCCCAGCTTCAGATTGGATTAGCAATCAGAAACATGCGCCTCAGGAGCGCAACGGTCAGAAAAGACCTGCGCGTCGCTAGAGCTGTAGCGACATGTCGCTCTCCCGGGCGGGCCCGATTCTGGCGGCAGGGCGAACAAAACACCTGCGCCGCGCCAAAGCGGGAGCTCAATGTTCATGAAAATCAGCGCGGCGTTAGGGTGAAAGCCACACTTCGCCCTTTCGCGTGATGTGCACCGTATCTCGTTCCTGCCAGGCATTTGGGAGCGTCTACGACAACACGTCCATGCTGAAAGGAAAGCCTCTACTGTGCAATGCTTTTGATTGGCAGGAGGAGACCACCCGCTGAGTCATGCTTGCGGACCGCTGAAAAGGGGAGCGTGAACAATACGAGAAAGGAACATTGATTAGAGAAAGGCGAAGAGTACGAGTAGGAGGACAAGGCTGAGGACGAGGATCCGGACGAGAATGACGAATGAGAAGACGGAAGAGAGGACACCAGCGGTTCCAGGATACAATCACATGCGCCTTCAAGCCCTGCCCGCTGTACGAATGCCTCTTGCCACGTGTTCTCACGCATTTCTGTCCCCAGGCTCCTTCAGGACGGCTCCGCAGGACGAGGAGGCAGAGAATGATAGGCAGGATCAGGAGGAAAAAGGAAGGACAAGTGAGGAGGATCAGGAGAACGATTCAGGTAATAGCTATGAGAAGGACGAGGAAGAGGAGGATGGAAGAGCAGCAGCACGAGCTGGAAGAGGAAGCGGAGGAGGAGCAGCTGCAGGAAGAGGAGGGGGTGCGAGAGTTCGACGTGGTCGTTTTGCTAAGGAGTACAGGAGCTACTGGCGCCGAGTGAAAAAAACAGTAGCAAAGGGAGGAGGAAGCGGAGGAGGAGGAGGAGGAACAGGTTGAAGCTCTTTCCAAGCGCGCCCAAGGCAGCCGGCGCGCGTTCGGGCAAGTCGCCCATATGCTCCACGAAGGCGTCGCCCCCTCCCGAGGGGGGAGAGTGATGAGGAGGAGGAGGAGGAATGGAATGGAATGGAATAGAATGGGATGGAATGGAATGAAATGGGACCGATGACAAAGTCCTACGAACCACTTACCAGGATGCCAACTCCTTGGGCCTGATGCCCGCATCGGAACGATCCAGGAACTCACGACGCTGCTTCGAGACCGACCGAGCCAGGCCTAGCACACGGCCTGCCGAGTTCTCGGATCATTTTCTACCCGACAAGCCCTCATACCCTACACATCCAAACACCCGACTCAGAACCTGCAAACCAGGTGAGCGTTTATCTTATTCGACGTATTGACATTGGGCGGAAGGGGGGGGAGGGGGGGGTCTGGCTCCGGACCTCTGCTTAATGCGACCGTTTGAAGCAGTGCGTCCCATGGGGGAGACTCCACCTGCTTGAAGCTGGCGCCAAAGACAGCCAGGATCTGCCCCATGGGAGGGGGGGGGGGGCGAGGGCCCGCGCCGATCGGCAAAACAATGACTAAGAAAACGATCACCAGAGCGTGACTGGGATCTGTTTCCCCGCCCGCCGCGAGGTGGGCCGAGAGCCTCCTCCTCCTCCTCCTCCTCCTCCTCTCCTCCTCCTCCGCCTCCTCCCTCCTCCGCCTCCTCCTCCTCCTCCTGCCCCTCCTCCTCCTCCTCCTCCTCCTCCTCCTCCTCCTCCTCCTCCTCCTCCTCCTCCTCCTCCTCCTCCTCCCCCTTCTCCTCCTCCTCCTGGCCGCGGCCGAGGCCGAGGCCGAGGCTGGCCCGCGGCAGCGGAGGCGTCCGGCGCCGCTGCCACCGAGGTGGTGAGAAGATCGGCCATGGGCAGAGGGGGGAGGAGGAGGAGGAGGAGGAGGAGGAGGAGGAGGAGGAGGAGGAGGAGGAGGAGGAGGGGCAGGAGGAGGAGGAGGGGGGGAGGGGGGAGGGCTTCTTGGAAGCACCCCTGGTTCTCAGGAGGCGCGGGCCTCATCTACCGAGGTGAGGCTGGCGCCTTCTAAGAAGCAGCATCCTGCTACGAAGCTTCTCCCCCTTTCTCCTTACCCCCTTGTGCGCGCCGCCAAGAGAAGAGGCGAACATGGCGACAGCACTCGGCGCTGGTGGAGGCGGGAGGGGAGTGGCGACGGGAGCAGCGGCAACAGCACGAGGGCGGTCAGAGAGGTGTTCGTTCCCACGGAACTCCTGATCGGCCGCCATGGCCGCCAGCACGGATCTCAACAGCATTTCTCGAACAAATTTGGCACGTTCCTCCACATCCGCCACCCGAAACTTGTCAGCGTACGGTACTCTGGCCATCTCTGCATCTTTCTCGGCGAATGCGTCGGCAACCGCATTGCCCCAAAATACCCAAACTAGGCAGGGAGCTCCTCACGATGTCCGACGGAGCCACGTGAGATAAGACCTTGATGTGTGCCCTTCAAGAGACTGCAGGAGACGGTTGAAGTTTGTCCACATTGATGCTCGAGCTCCTGACAGCTTCAGATTTGCCTTCTGCCCCCAGCCTCGAACGACTTCGCCGTTGTCTGAGAAAGACAGGATTGGCTCCAGAGCGCACCTGAGAGCTAAGATGAGGCAAGCCAACTCGCCTCTCAGAACCGTCTGAGCACGGCCGACCAGCGACCCAAAGATAATTGGCCTTCTGACAAAAAGGGTCCACGCTCGCTCCAGACCAACACGCCGGAGACGAATGTCCTCACGATCCTTGCCTCCGGAAGCGTCTCCGAAAATCCTGAGAGGCTGCCCCTGGACACCAGTACCCAGATCCCAGGGGGGAGGGAGGAAGAGGAGAAGGAGGAAGAAGAGCGGCTAGCTACAGAGGGAGAGGTTGTGGGACCCCGTTGCGGATGTGGCCTTGTGGGCCCCCGTCGGCGAACGGCCGACCACCTTGGCAACAGAGCACGGTTCCGTGGATGGGGGCTTGAGGCCCTATAGTTCCCCGTTCTCGAGTTGAGGAGCGCGAAGAACAAACAAAAACGACAACCAAACAAACCGACTAACAACCACACACGTGAGGAATTCCGCTCGTATAATACCCTCCAAGCCGCCCTCTGCTGGAGGAGGACGAGGAGGAGAAGGAGGAGGAGGAGGAGGGGTAGTTGGACCTCCGCCCCTCCACTCTTTGGGGGGCTGTGCTTAGGGGCGTGTCCTGGTGACGGGGCTCCGGGGTGCTTCTCCGCTGTCATTTGTCCTGGCCCCATCTGTAAATTATGGCCTCCATGGTTGTGTCCTAGCTGTTCTCCATTCATATCATACCCCATCAACCTTCGCTCGCGAAGCTGAATCTTCGCAGAGAACCCGACAGGCAATCGGGTCACGCTTATGCCTAGCGTCGGGGTCTTCAGTGGCGGTATCTGCCACAACGTCAACGCATAGGCCGTACTCCTCGTGGAATATCGTTGGCCCCAGCTTATTTCGAGTAGGTATCATCCTTCACTGTTGGAGCATCGTTGTTGCGTCACGGTCTTGACATCGCAAATTAAAAAGCAGTGCCGCTGGTTTGCTATTCAATTTACTACAATTTCGGTTTTGGATTCGGGCGTGCTGTGCCGATGCCGTGCTCTATGCTGGTCTAGTGGCATCGTGTCGCGATTTGGCTCGCACACTTCTGGTACGCAGACGCCAGGGTGTGCGAAACGTCGAGGCGCTGGTCAGAGCGAGCATTTGGCTCGCACACGCTGTTTCATATTTTTCTGCGGGAGACACCTAAGTACCACCAGGCCTGGCCAGGGCCAGCCTGGGCCCCAGGGGGTGCCGCATAGATGTCCCCCTCGGCCAGACCGGCGTAAACATCATGCCAGCGCCCAGGATGTCCCTGGCCAAACAGGGTGGTGGTGTCTAGGTGCCCCCTGCGTGTTCCAGCAACTGCACCCGCATCGCAGACTTCGGCTCGCCATGGCTCTCGCGAGGGCCCTGGTGGGTGCCCTTGCCATCCTCCTGGCCGCGGAGAGCCTGCACGTGGACCTGGACCCGGACGCCAAGCTGGCACAGGACCCGTGGTGCTTAGGCAGGGGTGCGAGGGCTCTTCACTTGAAAGGGTGGGCCCTCGCCCTCCCGCCACCCCCGTGGCTCTTCCTCTGCCCTTCTTCAACCCCTTCCCGTCCTCTCCTTCCTCCCCTCCCAGGCCCTGGCTAGTCTTCTCATCATCTTGCTCATCCCTCTCTCTCTGTCCTCCTCCTCCTCCTCCTCCTCCTCCTCCTCCTCCTCCTCCTCCTGGATACCCTTCACCCTTCTGTGTGTTATGCTCCTCGTCGCTGCTTCTAAGCCCCCTTGTCACGTCAACCTCCTCCTCCGCACTCATTTCCTCTCAATTTCTCCGTGTCCTCGTCATCATCAAAATCCAACCTCCTCTTCCTCATGATCCTCCTCATCCTCATCCTCCGCTTCACCCTCACTATGTTTCCTGATCCCTCTCCTTCTTCCCTTGCCTCTCCGAAGGATCATATGTTTCCTCTTCCTCGCCGTACTAAAACCAGTACGGGTGATCATACGACTACTACGACTACAGCTGCTGGTACGATTACGAGTATTGTTACTTGTTCTACTGCTACTACTACGGCTACTATATTTACTCTTACTACTACTACTACTAACTACTACTACTACTACTACTACTACTACTACTACTACTAACTACTACTAACTACTACTACTACTACTACTACTACTACTACTACTACTACTACTACTACTACTACTACTACTACTACTACTAACTACTACTAACTACTACTACTACTACTACTACTACTACTACTACTACTACTACTACTACTACTACTACTACTACTACTACTACTACTACTATACTACTACTACTACTACTACTACTACTACAACTACTACTACTACTACTACTACTACTACTACTACTACTACTACTACTACTACTACTACTACTACTACTACTACTACTACTACTACTACTACTACTACTACTACTACTACTACCACTACTACCACTACTACCACGACTACTTTTACTACTACTACCTCTACTAATATGACTACTACTACTCCTACTACTACTACTACTACTACTACGACGACTACTACTGCTTCTACTACTACTACCACTACGACTACTAGTACGACTACTACTACTACTGCTACTGCTACTGCTACTGCTACTGCTACTACTACTACTACTACTACTACTACTACTACTACCACGACTACGATTACGACTACGATTACGACTACGACTACGTCCACGCTTACGACTACGACTACGCCTACACGGCTACTACGACTACTACGACTATTACGACGACGACGACGACGACGACGACGACGACGACGACTACTACTACTACTACTACTACTCCTGCTGCTGCTGCTGATGTTCTTCTCACCACTTGCCCTCATCCCCATCTTCCTTCGCTCGCATCTGGTCGGCCTCGACCCCATCCCCCTCGTCAGGAGGACAGCGAGCTGGCCGACGCGGGCAAGGAGGGCTCAGGCCTCAGGAGGAGGAAGAAACGGAAGAGGAGGAGGAGGAGGAGGAGGAGGAGGAGGAGGAGGAGGAGAGAGGAGGCTAGAGGAGAGCCAAGCTGACAAGGAGGATGAGAAGGAGCAGGGGAAGGGGAAGGAGGAGAAAGGACGAGGAGGAGGAGGAGACGGAAAGGAAGGGCGAGGAGGAATAGGAAGAGGGCTAAGGAGGGGGAGGGCTCGAGAATCGAAGGCCGAAAGGCGTTCGGAGGCATCCATGGAAGGAGGAGGAAGAAGAAGAAGAAGACGATGAGGACAAGGAGACGGACGAGGAGGAGGAGGAGGAGGAGGAGAAGGACAAGGCGGACGAGGAGGAGGAGTAGGAGGACGACGATGATCTCCTCCAGATTGCCGATGCGTCGATCGACTGGGAGGGGGTAAGTGAGCGATCGGGCCCTCGAACGGCATGGTGTTCCGCACTCCGGGGTGGATCTGACCGTCCATGACCACGATCATCCCCAGGCCTCCGCCGACGTGACTTCTGTCAAGAAGTGGGGGCCCCGGGAGCTCTCGAACGGAGGCTCGGGGGTCGAGGTTGGAGGGTAGAGGCTTTGGACGCCTCGGAGCCTGTGTGGGCCTCCGGAAGTCTTGGAGACCTCCGGAAATTTGCAGGGGCCTCGAAGTGAGACCGAGTTCTCGCCCCAGGTAGTTTTCCCTTTGATGGCCCTGGGCCACAGTAAAGGTGACCAGGACGTTGGTGAGAACGTGATCGTCGTGATTTGGCCGCGACGCCTTGGAGGTCTAGGTCGGTCGGAGGTGCTCGATGTTTGAGCCCCGTTGTCTAGTTTGCCACGGAGCTAGGGAATTCGGCGAGGGGGGTGTCGGTGCACTCATCAGACGCTCCAGCAGCCCACAGCTTCGGAAGCTGGGGTGTCTGTACACCAAGCTCCCTGGCCGACCAGAAGGCTTGGTGTACACATGGAGCCCCTTTCTGTCGGGATTGGGATCGGTGCCAGGCCGCAGATGTCAGCCCGGATCGAAGCAGGGGGGGCGGGTGCTCCCGAGGCTCAGGATGGCCCTGGCGCCGCCGCGTCATGCGCGGGCCCGAGCCGAAGGGGAAGGAGGAGCCCCCGGAGCCCTTCTCCTTTTCCCTGCCCCTCCCTTTTTTCCCTCCCTCCCTACCTCCGGCCTTTATCCCTCCCCCTCCCCCCCTTTTCCCTCCCCCTCCCCTTTTGCCTCCCCCTCCTCCCTCCTCCCTGTTTCCCTCCCCCTCCCCTTTTCCCTCCCTCCCTCCCTCCCTCATCCGACCTCCTCCGTAGGCGCTTTGGCTTCTTGATTCAAGCAGCTTCGGTTCAGACCTGCCAGGCAGTCTCTGGGTGCTGCTCCGAACTCTCGTCGCAGTGCTTGAGGGGCACCGTGGGCGCGAACACACACTCTATTTGATCGACGGCCCGCGGTAGCAAACCGGTGCAAATTTGATGGCGGCAGCAGCCCCTAACGAGGCCTGGAGCAGGTGCAGCGGTTGCCAAGCATGGAGTTGGTATGACAAATCGGTGGCGAGGCAGTGCAGGTGCAGCACGTGTGGCCGAGAAGTCAAGCTGCACAAGCCTCGCTCGGGACCCTGTGGCGACAGGGATGCGAAGGCACGACCCGGCGGCAGCGCTTTCCAGCGGCAGGGCGGCAGGGTGCAGCAGGATGCGGACATCCTTCGGTCTATGTTGCAGTCTGTCGCCATGGAGTGCTTCCTCCGTCTGGGATTTTAACGGCAGGAGCTATTCAATGTAGACGCTTCATTCCATGTTTGGTTTTGAGTAGTTTTTTGTCCTGTTCAGACGGTCACAGCATGGCACAGAGGTAGCCGCCGAAGCCATCAGAGGGCAGTTGCCAACGCCAGTGGAGGTCTCAGCCGAGGAGCAGGTCAAGAGGACCTCAGGAGCTTGGCGAGACGTAGAGATGAGGCCTGACCAGGCGGTCGCCAAAGCCTTCAAATGTAGAGAGAATTGCCCGAAGGCGCAGCTCAAGGAGCAGTCCACATCTATCGCCCTCGCTGCGGCCAAGATGGGAGGAAGACAGCAGCGGCGGCGCTCATGCGGGAGGTGGCTGGTAAGGGGACATGGCGCCAAGCACTCGTTTATTGAAAGTCTATGCGTGTGCAGGAGGAGGTTTCCCATTAAAATTTCCGAGGCCGGTTCCGAGGTACACCCATTTCCGAGGGTGTTCAAGAGATTGAGGTTTGGAGGAAGTGCGCGGATTTTGACGTCATTGCATTCGCAACACCGCTTTCTGAAATACGTGGTGAATTGAAAGGTCCTTGAGCGGCACGCGTTGCGCTCAAGGGCCTTCTTTTCCCGAGGCTCGTCGGGGGCGAGTCTTGGACCCCCACGAAGCGGGAGTCTTTCCCATGCCCTGCGCTATTTTTCGAGCCAGATCGATCTGCCAGGGTCCCGATCCCCCGAAATCGGGCGACAGCGCCCAGACATGTGACGTCCTGATTTTTTCAGGAGGGGGTCCTTGGGAGTCCCGACCCTCCTCCTCCTCCCCCCCTCCTCCTCCTCCCCCTCCTCCTCATCCTCCTCCTCCTCCTCCTCCTCCTCCTCCTCCTCCTCCTCCTCCTCCTCCTCCTCCCCCTCCTCCTCCTCCCCCTCCTCCTCCTCCTCCTCCTCCTCCTCCTCCTCCTCCTCCTCCTCCCCTCCTCCCTCCTCCTTTCCCCCCAGGGCCAGCGTTTCATCCTGGGCCGCTCCTTGAGGGTCCGGGGGCGCGGCGAGGGCCCCCAGGGCCGAAAACGGCCCCCACACACACACACACACACACACACACACACACACACACACACACACACACACACACACACACACACACACACACACACACACATATACACACATACACATGCACACACACACACACACACACCGCCCTGATTTTGCTACGACGCGAGCATGGGGTCGGGGATTGTTCAAGGGGCCCCTTGCCCAAGGTGCCCCCAGCTTTTCGCTCAACTTTGAAGCCCCCCAGGCCCTCTGGGCCTCGTGAGGGGCGCTCTGGGGCTGGGGGGGCCCCTTGGAAATCCTGGGGGCACCTTCGGCCAGACGCCCCCAGATGCCCCGAGATGCCCACAGACGGCCCAGGAGGTCTCCATGAACGCTCCCCAGATGGCCGCAAGAGGCTAAAACCAATGATGTTCCATAGGTGTTCCTGTGTTCTCGACGGCCTCGATTTTTCGAGCTTCCAGCGCTCAACAGGCCCCCAAGACCGCCCCGACAGGAGAGCCCCAGGAGTTGGAGGCCCTGGAGGCCCCACAGATCTCCAGAGCCCGGAGGCCCCGGAAAACCAAAACACGCCCCAGAACGTGCAATCGCCTTTTCAGTCCATAGACGACGACCCCTTCCACCACCACCACCACTACGACGACCACCGCGACGATCATCGCGACGGCGGCGGCGGCGGCTGCGGAGGCAGCGGCGGCGGCGCCCGCAGGGGCGGCGGCGACGGCGACGGCCTGGCGGCCCAGAGCTTCTGGGGCCCTCCTCGGCCACTGTGGCAGCCACGGCACTTGCGCAGTTTGGGAAACATTCAGAACCATCGACGCGTCGCACGTCGATCATCGCACGGCTTCGCGACCGCCCACCGAACCCTAAGACCCCCCAGATGGCCCAGCACCTCCATGCAAGGGCGGCCCCTGCCTGGGGAACATCTCCCTGGGTATTTTGGGTTTTCGTGGAGCAGCGCAAGGTCCATTGACAACGACTATTCACTCGGCTAGAACCTAAGCGCGCGTAGCGCGCGTGGTTTTAGTGCGTGTATGTGTATATATATATTATATATATATATGCACACACATATATATATATATATGTATATATATATAATTATATATACAGAGGGTCCCACTTGGATCTGGACTGGAACACAATTGGAGTTCGATCGGGATGGGGCAGACCCCAGAGCCAGAGGATGTTCGATGGATTTGTATGAGAAACCGATCGGGATTCAATACGAATTACGAAAGGCCCCAGATTCAGAAGATCCCGACCTGATGCGAAAGGAAGCCGAGGCAATACCACGGTTACCCCTCCATCACAACCCTGTCAGGGTCAGAGGTGGTGGTGGTGGTTGTGGCGCAGGTGTGGCTGTGGTAGTCGTAGCAGTGGTAGCAGTTGTAGTAGTACAGGGCGCAAAAAATAAAAGTAGTGGGAAACCTGGTGAATATAGTAGTAGGAATTGAAAGAGTAGAAGTAGTAGTAGCAAAAAGTAGAAGTAACAGTAGAAGTAGCAGTAGCAGTAGCAGACATATTTGTAGTAGTGTTAGTTGAAGTAGCGATCGTTATAGTGGTAGTAGTAGTAGTCGTCGTCGTTGTCGTAGTAGTAGTAGTAGTAGTAGTAGTAGTAGCAGTGGTGGTGGTAGTAGTAGTAGTTGTAGTAGTAAAACTCGTAGTCATAGTCGTAGTCGTAATCGTAGTAGTAGTAGTAGTAGTCGTCGTCGTCGCAGTAATAGTAGTAGTAGTAGTAGTAGTAGTAGTAGTAGTAGTAGTGGTAGTAGTGGTAGTAGTAGTAGTAGTAGTAATAGTAGTAGTAGTAGTAGTAATAGTAGTAGTAGTAGTAGTGGAAGTAGTACTTATATTACTACTTCTACTACTTCTACTACTACTACTACTACTACTACGACTACTACTACTGCTGCTACTACTACTACTACGACTACTACGACTACTACTACTACTGCTATACTACTACTACTACTACTACTACTACTACTACTACTACTACTACTACTACTACTACTACTACTACTACTACTACTACTACTACTACTACTACTACTACTACTACTACTACTACTACTACTACTACTACTACTACTACTACTACTACTACTACTACTACTACGACGACTACGACTACGATTACGATTACGACTACGACTACGTCCACGACTACGGCTACGACTACGACTACGACTACTACGGCCACTACGACTACTACGACTACTACGACTACTACGACGACGACGACGACTACTACTACTACTACTACTACGACTACTACTACTACTCCTGCTGCTGCTGCTGCTGATGTTCCTCTCACCACTTGCCTACTTCTAGTAGTAGTAGTAGTAGTAGTGCTACTACTACTAGTAGTAGTAGTAGTTGAAGTAGTAGTGGAAGTAGTGGGAGTAGTAGTAGTGGAAGTAGTAGTGCTACTGCTGCTACTACTACTACTACTACGACTTCTACGACTACTACTACTACTACTACTACTACTACTACTACTACTACTACTACGACGGCTACTACTACTACTACTACTACTACTACTGCTACTACTACTACTAGTAATATTACTACTACTACTATTAGTAGTAGTAGTCGTAGCAGTAGTAGTAGTAGTGGTCGTAGTAGTAGTAATAATAGTAGTAGTAGTAGTCGTGGCCGTAGTAGTACTACTACTAATTCTACTACTACTACTACTACTACTACTACTACTACTACTACTACTACTACTACTACTCGTAGTAGTACTCGTAGTCGTAGTAGTAGTAGTAGCAATAATAGTAGTAGTAGTGGTACCAGCTGTACGAATTGCAATAGCCGTGGTATTAGTAGTAGTAGTAATAGTAGTTGGTGTTGTAGTAGTAGTGATAGTAGTAGTTTGTAGTGGTAATGCTAGTAGTAGCAAGAGTAGTAGTAGTAGTCGTCGTCGCCGTCGTCGTAGGAGTCGTAGTGGCCGCAGTAGTAGTAGTAGTAGTAGTAGAAGAAGTAGTAGTAGTAGTAGTAGTAGTAGTAGTAGTAATAGTAGTAGTAGTAGTAGTAGTAGTAGTAGTGGTAGTAGTAGTAATTGTGGTAGTAGTTGTTGTAGCCGTAGTAGGAGTAGTATTAGTAGAAGTGGAAGTAGTAGTAGTAGTAGCAGCAGCAGCAGCAGTAGTAGTAGTAGTAGTAGTAGTAGTGGTAGTGGTAGTGGTGGTAGTGGTGGTAGTCGCGTTGGCAGTTGCATAGCTCGAGTATGAGCCACGGGCGTAGCAGCAGTGAGATTAGCGGCCTTGGTAGGATGGTGCGAATCCCGCGGGGCCAGTGGTACTTCGTAGCAGGAGCAGCACAATCTGCCAAGCACAATTGCTGGTGGCGTTCTAAGTGCCACGAGTGAGAAACCCCGTATCTATATTCCATCATTGCTACTACGATTTGCTACTGGTGTTGTTGGCGTTACTCTTTCCGAAGAGATTAATATTAACACCACCAGCGCTACTACTACCACCACCACCACGGATATCACATTTACACAAACCACCGTCTTGTTTGGGTCAGGAGGTAATGGTCGCAGTGGTGGTGGTGGTGGTGGTGGGCCTACGTATGCTGCTCCTTCGTTTTCGCCTCCTCCTCCTCCTCCTCCTCCTCCTCACCCTCTGCAGTTCATACAGCCAAATGCGACATCGTCCAGTACGACCGTCACTACAACCATTACTGTATTGACTATCACCACCGAGGTCACTCCTACCACGAATACGGTCACAACCACGACTACTACGAGCACGAGTGCTAGTTTTATTTCACTGCTACTACGACTATCACTACTACCACGACTACGACTACGACTACCACGGCTACCACCACACGATTACGACTACGTCTGCGCTTACTTAATCACTACAGGAACTAGCACCACCACCACATCAACTACACAACTATTACCATTCCTAGTCCCCCAGTATTACCTCAACCCTGTCTAGGTGAGTGGGCGATTGTGGTGGCCGTGATGGTGGTGGTGGCAGTCGCAGCAGTGGCAATAGTTGTACCAGTGGAAACCGCAAAAGTAGCAGTAGAAATCGTAGTCGTAGCCGTAGCGTTAAAGTGCTGAAGTAATGCTGATAATGACCGTAGCAGAAAGACGCCTAGCAGGAAGGTCTGGTAGAGAAAGGGATGGGCAGGAGAGGCACGAGCGCCAAGACCGCCACCCCCTGTCAAACACAGAGAGGTCGTGGACTTGTCTGAACTCAATGGGAGTTGCGCTGATTCAGAGAGTGTCCATTGGAATTGAGAAGGAGCCCCATAGAATTCAACTGGACTTGAACAGACCCGAAACTTATAGCATTTAGATTACATGCGAATATGTACTCAATCCGAGCTCAAAATATGGTCCAGGCCTTAAGGTTTTCCATTGGAGCTAAACCAACCGGTCACAAGGAATTCAACGGGAACGGAGCAGACCTTTGGATCATATGATTTCAGATGATAGAAATTGGATTCGAATGCGAATCCAATAGGAATCCAAGAGGACTGGAGAGAGAACAGATTCGGAGGATTCCATTTGGATTTGAATTGGAACCCGAATAGGAGCTCGATAAGGATTGAGCAGACCCCAGAGTCAGACCGATTTGAGTTCAATTGAGCGAGAAGAACCCATAGAACTTCAACAGGATCGGGGTATGCCCCAGGTTCAGAGGACTTCGATCGAACCTGACCTGGACGTGTTGAGACTTCGATGATGAAATTTCAAGACATAAATCAGCAAGACAACCTTCCGAGCTTTCGAAAAGGAATCTCCAAGAACGCAGGAAACACTTTCGAAGAGGGAATCTCCAAGAGCGCAAAAACCACACATCGCTAAATTGAAGCATGTGTTCCCTCCACCCCCGCCCCCCTCCGCCCCCCCTCCGTCCCCACTTCGTTCCCCGAGTTCGCAGGGCTCCCGAGGATCCGCCGCCGCAGAGCTGTCTGGCCGTCCTGGTCTCCGGCAGCGCCGAGAGCTTGGTGCTGGCCCCCCTGCTCTCCAGCGTGGTCCGGGCGAACGCTAGGGCCGGCCTCCGCGTCGACGTCTTTTTTGGCCTCACGGCGCCCGCGAAGGCTGACGGCGAGCATATTCGGACGGGGCGGAGGAGGAGGAGGAGGAGGAGGAGGAGGAGGAGGAGGAGGAGTCGGGCGGGGGGAGGGGCTAGGACGAGGATAATCCCGTCCCAGAGCGTTCCAGAACGCTCTCAGAGCGTTCCAGAACGCTCTGAGAAGGCCGTGGCGCCCCAGACATCCTCCAGGGGCGCCAGACCTCAGAGGGTCTCGGTGTATATTCACCCGATGGTGTCCTAGTCTTGATTTCGTCGGTCAAGACGGGCGGCTCAGCGTGTCGTTCCGCCGGTTACGGCCACAACGTTTCGGCGAGACACGGTGTCCACTTCCCCATCTCCATGCGTCCACGTCCCAAGCCTTTCCGAGCCTCCCGCCGTGCGGAGCGGAGCGACACGCTATCCGCGCGCAGGGGATAGCGTGGCAAGCAAAAGCTCCCGACCGTCACTGCTTGAGGTCGCCCGAGGTGTCGCGAAGGTGTGCCGCGCGTCGCGCGTCGCGTGGGACGGAGAGCTGCCCTTCTCCGCAGGACGGCACTGAGGCGCGAAGGCAAACGCGCCTCGTGGCGCGCGCGATGGGATGGGGCGGGCGCCTGCAGACGCTGCCCGCCCTTTTTCAGGAGCGAAAGATTGACGTGCACGTACATGAATCCACGCTGGTTTCGAGAGTACGCATTGCCCGAAAGTTCGTATCACGCGGCCGGTCTCGCAGATCGAGGGGCCGTGTTCATGTACATAGCTGGGCGCGTACGTCCTTTGTGGGCTCCCCACTGTTGGCGTGCCACCAAGAAGGGGAAGCGGGAGGGGGCCGTGGACCCGAAGATGTCCCAGTTCTTGCAGAACTTCGACGTCGCGAAGCTGAGGGATTTCGTCTGCCAGCTCGCCGAGCAGCAGGGCGCATCCCACTGCACGGTCGAGCTGGAGAGCGAGGAGGCGGCGCACGCGCCCAAGAACGTGGCGCGCCAGAGCATCATGACCCACTACCAGAACAGCACCGAGAAGCGCACTGGCGCGATCGCCAGATGGCGTTCGCTGTCTCGCCTGCTGGCCAGCGCGCGCACCCACGAGGTCGAAGCGGAGTACGACGCCGTCGTGATCGCGCGGGCCGACACCTACTGGATGGCCCCGGTCTCCGTCAACGTCGAGGACTTCCAGATGGACTCCCTGCAGGCCTCCGTGCGTGATCTGTCCATCATGGCCCCTTTGATCGGAGGAGGAGGAGGAGGAGGAGGAGGAGGAGGAGGCGGAGGAGGAGGAGGAGGAGGAGGGGGTGAGCAGGAGCAGGAGCAGGAGGGGGAGAGGGGGGAAGGAAGGATTAGAGGTTGGAGTTTGAGGATTTGAGGGCTCGAAGCTGGAGGAAGGTCGGGTGGCTGGCTGCTCCTCGACCCCCTCTGGGAGCGCGGGAGCGCCGCCAGCGCGGGCGCCCGTGGGCGCCGCGCGGTCGCTCTCGAGGCCTGCGTCGGCCCGTCCGGGGGAGGGGCTCCGTGCAGGTCTCGGTGGCCCCCTGCCTTGACGACACCGGCATCAACGACAAGGCCATGGTCCTGGGGAGGGAGGCGGCCGACGTGATGCTGAGCGCGTACGACAGGTGTCAAGCAGTGGCGAAGCGTCTTGGCTCGCCACGCAGGCCCACCACAGGATGTTCTAATAACCTTTTGTGGCCTGCGCGAAATTTTCTCAGATCATGTCTGGCTGAGACTGTCTTGTTGTAGCACATCGGGATTATGTTCTAAGAACCTTGTTTTTGTTATTAGAACAGTTTGGGGTTCTGAGAGCGTGTCGCGGTAGGCCTCCTACAGGAATGCCGGGACGGTCGGTCCCTGCTCAAAGGTGGCAGAGCGGCGACGAGCGGCTGAGCGGGAGCCGCACTGCCGAGGAGGTGCGCGGGGAGACCGGCAACGTGTGTACGGCGGAAGCCCCTGCCAAGAAACACCCTGCTTGCCTACAGGGTAACCTGGGTCATCCTGGGTTTTGATGTTGCTGCTATGGGAAGCGTGACGCTCCCACACGATAAGTCATTGGATGTCCTGGGGTCTCAGGGTTGGGCTTCTTGTGGGAGGTTTCTTCTGGTCGAGCTCCTGCTTTAGGCGCAGAAGGCATTCGAGCAAGGGCCTTGCCCTTCGAGATTCAAGGCAGCTGGCATCTCTTCCTCGGAGGATCGAGGATCGAGAGGGCCGAGAGCATCGAAGGGTTGAGATGATCGGGAGGCTCTTCCTCGAGAGAGGATGTTGCACTTCGAGGATCGAAGAAGCCGGCATCCCTTCATCGGGGGAAGGCGGCGAAGTAAAACGAGGCCGTCTCCGCCGGCGGAAGCCGGCGGAATCAAACGACACGCCCCCAAGAGATGGCCACATGTTTGGGTTCAGGGCTTGCGGCGCCCGCCACGTGTCTGCCACAGCTCTCTACGATTAAACGGTATGAATCCTGCTCTCCTCTCTCCCGTGGTGGCGTCCGGGGATTTTTCGGCCCCCCTCCGCGTACGGTTTTTTACACACAGGATTCCTGGGAGTTGGGTTTTCGCTTAGGTTTTTGCTCAAAATGCCGCTCTCGCTCAAGAGCTGGCCTCATTTTCGGACTACCGCTCGTTCCGAATCGTGCTCCCGCTGAATCGCTGGCGTCTTTATTTCCAGCGCCATGCCACAGCATGGTTTTCTGTCCTTCCAAGTAGGCCCCACAATCTAAAAGATGGCCTCCCTAAGAAACCATCGGAAGTGATGACACATGCGGTGCCGATTCTTTGGTTTCTTGGGCCGCCCCCCCGCCCACACTTCGGGGCGTCGCCACGCCATGCTATGTCAGGCTACGCGTCGTCATTTCCGCGCTTCCGCGCTTGAGTTTTTGTTCACCATGCTGCTCTCGTTCAAGAGCTGGCCTTCTGTTCGGGCTACCGCTCGTTCCGAATCGTGCTCCCGCTGCAGCGCTGGCGACATTATTTCTAGCGCCATGCCACGGCATGGTTCTCGGTCCTTCCAAATAGGCCCCAATCTAAAAAATGGCCTCCCTAAGAAACCATTGGAAGTGATTCCACAGTCGGTGTCGATTTGTTGATTTGTCGGGCCGCAGAAGCCGCCCTCCCACTTTGGGGCGTCGCCACGCCATGGTATGTCAGGCTACGCGTCCTCATGTCCGCGCTTCCGCGCTTGGTTTTTTGTTCAAAGTGTTGCTCTCGCGGAAGCGCTGGCCTCATTTTCGGGCTACCGCTCGTTCCGAAACGTGCTCCCGCTGCAGCGCTGGCCTCATTTCCGCTCGTTCCGAATCGTGCTCCCGCTGAATCGCTGGCGTCATGATAGCCAGTGCCATGCCACAGCATGGTTTTCTGTCCTTCCAAGTAGGCCCCACAATCTAAAAAATGGCCCCCCTAAGAAACCATCGGAAGTGATTACACAGTCGGTGTCGATTCGTTGATGTCTTGGGCCGCAGAAGCCCCCCTCCCACTTTGGGGCGTCGCCACGCCATGGTATGTCAGGCTACGCGTTCATCTTCAACGCCATGCTATGCCATGTTATGCTATGCCATGCTACGACATCCGATTGTGCGAATAAAGAGCAGATCTACGCCATGGTAAGGGATGGGAGGGAGGGGTAGGACGTCAGATATGACGCAAGCGCACCTAGCTTGCCTCCCCCCCTCCCCAGCCGTCCCCGCTGCGTCGCGAAGCCTTTCCTCTTCAGGCTGTCCCTGCGCAGGTCCTGTTCCGCATCGCCTCCCAGGCTGGACTCCGGATAACCCCCCAGCCCATGTACGCGGAGTCGGCGTCGTTCACGCAGACCGGGCTGCCGCCCCAGGGGAGATCATCCGGCCCGTGGCCCGGCAGTGGTCCGACCTGCCCGCCGATCGGGCACCAGGGCGGTCGATCGGGCCCCCGGTCGGCGAGATGGCACCCCCGCGCTTCGGTGTCGGGATCTCGGCATTTGGTCGAGGATGTCCGCCCTGGAGTCGGGTCGGGTGTTGCTAGAAGCACCCCTGGCCCAAGGTACCCCCAGGATTCTCGGGGTGGCCCAGACGGCCTTCAGGGCACCCCTCGCAGGGCCCAGAGGGCCCACGGGCCCCAGAACGGAGCGACAAGCTGGAGGCACCTTGGGCCAGGGGTACTTCTAGCAACACCCGATCGGGGGGGGTGGTGTGGGGGGGGGGGGGGGGCGGCGGGCGCATTCTACGCGAGCCAGACGCAGGACCGGCTGGGTCACAGGTGCGATCGCCAGCGGCATACTTCGACCAGGGTCGGCAATGCGCAGATGGGGGGTGGGGAGAGGGGGGCAGGCTTCTTAGAAGCACCCCTGCCCCTGCCTCTTAGAAGGCGCGGGCCCTGTCTATGGATGTAGGGCCGGCGCCCTCTGAGAAGGAGCCTCCCCCCAAGAATCCTTCCCCCCTCCCCCCTACCCTCCCCTTATGCGTGCCGCCAAGGGTCAATTCGACCAGGGGGGGGGTCCGAGGCTGCCACGAGATGCGAACAGCCTGTTCCAGAGCGTCCCAGAGCACTCTCGGAGCACTCCAGAGCGGCTCTGGAACGGCCGCGGCACGTCCTCAAGACTTGCCGATGCCTCTGTCCTTTTACATCTGGGCCTGCCCGCCCTCCCTCTTCTTGCACGGTCTCACCAGCCAGTGCTAGTATGGTGGAGTCCCCATTCCCATCAGTTGGGATGCTGGCAGTTCTTTCGTCATCGGGGCTCTTTCACAGAAAAAATACGTCCGCGCCTGCTGCCTCTCAGAGATGAGACGAGTTGTCCATGCCCGACTCTGTCCGCACCGTGCCCTCAGGGACTCCTTGGGTCGGCGCTGCGAGCCCCCTCCCACGCACCCCGTCCCCGGCGCGCGAAGCGCGCTGGAGGTACCGCGTGTGGGCAGGGGTCCAGCGCCTAAACAAGAAATCCGCACGGACCGCCCCAAGTGGTGCGCACATGTGGCTGTTTAGTCGTCCACTCCTGCCTCGGCTCTGAGGCTCCCGTGCTTCCAGGAGACATCCTTCGACCTGAGCAGGCAGCGCTACGAGCAGTGTTTCGTCGAGAGCGCGGGGGACGCGCCGGTCTCCGAGTTCTTCGCAACTTTCGGCTGCGAGGTCAGGAGCCCTAGCTTCTCAGACCTCATCATCGTAAGCAGCATCATCATCACCATCATTGTCACCATCATCAGCATCATCATCCTCACCATCATCCTCTTCATCATCCTCTTCATCATCAGCAGCAGCAGAAGCAGCAGCATATCATCACCACAATCTTCATCACCACCACCACCACCATCATCATCATCATCATCATCATCATCATCAGCATCATCATCATCATCATCCGCCGTCCCACTCCTCATCACCATCCTCATCCATCCCCCTTCACCTCCTCCTCATCATCATCAGCATCATTCCGCAACCATTTTGGCTCAAGCCAACTTCACGTTAAGACGCAGCCCCACACGCGCTGCTGCACGCCCCAAGCATGTATCCTGGTTGCGATGTCTGCCGCTGTATCTGAGTGTGACTTTCTGCATGGTGCACCGCCGCAGTGGGACTAAGCTTGCCGTGCGACGCGCCCGCGCCATCGAGCGTGGATTTCTACAACCTGTTCCTCTCGGAGCTCGCCATGTAGCCGTCCCTCAGCAGGTGGCGCCAAATGCATGTCGCGTTCTTCGCGGGTTCAGCCTTCATCATGAGCTTCAACAGCTTTCAGCCCAGCGCTCGCACTCGTTACGTCAGGTCATCCTCGCCGCCAAGGAGCAGCTCAGCGACTCAGAATTCAAGGGGTACCTCCGCGAAAACACGAACTACGGCAAGGCCAAGCACCGCCTACCCCTGCATGCGGATCCTGCGGTTGCTGATTCACCAGCCGCGCGCACGCTGCAGTTGGCTGATCTGCTGCCGCCGCCCAGCACACTCCGGGGAGGTCCTCCGCACCAGCCACACGTTCTACTACGACCCGCCGCTCATCCACTACTTGCTCGTCCGCCGATCGTCTCCTTGGGCGTCTGCATGAACGACGACCTGCACCGCGTCGCCAACTTCATCCAACGGCTACGGGCCCCAGGGGAAGCTCGAGGAAGCGTTCCCAGTCCTATGCTGCATGGTGCTGGTCCTCTTCCGCCGCTCGGTGAAGCTGTCCGCGTATTTGAAGATCGTGCTGTTACTGTAAGGCAGGGTGCTGGTCCTCTTCCGCCGCCTGGTCAATCGGACCGCGAATTTGAAGAACGTGCTGTTGCGGGCGGCTCACATGAATTGCATGTCCAACCTGTTCGCGTTGCCGAAGTGCCTGCTGTCGAGTGTGGACCTGATGGCGGCGACCGTCGTCCTACTGGCGATCCTGCCCCTCTGGCTGGCCTGTCGTTTCCTGAAGAACGTGAGCCTGTTGTTGGGGTTCCCCCTGACGCTGCTGCTCGTGCCGGCCCTCATCGGGACAAGGCTCCTGCCGAAGTTGTCCCGCCACTGCTCCTCTTCACGCACCAGAAGATGCTGCCGACGTGGGCGCACATCCTCGTGTCCATGTCCTTCCTGGCCCGCATGGCGCCGCCGCTGATGTTACAGAAGCTGAACGCCGCCTGGTAGTCCTGCTGGCCGACTCGGAGCAGATCACCAACCACACCACGTATTCGGAGGCTGAGAAGCTCATGCAGCACGGGGCCGCATGGGTTCAGGTCGTAGAAACGCGGCGCCGCCTGCTATACGACACGTTCAACCTCCAGCTTTGGCAATATCATGATACCCCGTCCGACTCGGACGTGAGTTGCGAATCTCTGCACGACGATACCTTGGTTGAAGAAGTGGCTGACGCCGCCCTTCCCGAACAAGATTCTCCTGAAGCTGATCATGGAGCCGCTGCCGCTGCTCGCCCAGCCCACGTTCTGCATGTTGATGCTTGCGACGACTATCCCGAAGGCGATTGGCATGAATGGGCTCTACCTGGTGCTCCGTACCGTCGCTGTTCGGCCGACGCCGACCTTCCCGAACAAGCTCTTCCTGATGCTGATTCGTTTCTGCATGCTGCGGCTGGCGACGGGCACGGTTGGACGGTTCCTGGCGCGCTGCACCTTCGCCGTTCGGACCTCCTCCAGCTTCGATGCTGCTGCTCGTCTCTCAATGGCCTGGCAGGCGAATTTGCATGCCCCACTTCGGAGCTTCCACATGCTGATTGTGCCGTTCTGCCGCTCGGAGTTGCGGATGATGCGCATGACGCTGAGGCACCCACCGCCCGTCATTGTAGCCCAGTCCCCCATCCTTGGCACGCTCCATCCCGTTCCTCGCCGCTTCCTCCCATGTGCCCTTCGCCCCCCGCCCTTCCCACCATCCCTGCGTTTCCCTCGTTCCCGACTGCAGCTCATGACTTACGTCCCTCCGCGCACCGCGTATGGCCCCATGCTGGCGGCCAGAGCGTCGAGCGTACAAAGTGCATCCTGAGGTAGGCGTTGCGGCAACGGGCAGGGAGCGAGGCGAACTTTGCCCTCTTCTCGCGTCTTGCCCGCTTGCCCTCGTCTCTCTTTGAGCACGTGCACTCACCATCAGCATCATCAGCATAATCCTCATCACCCTCAGCAGCAACATCATCATTCCTATCCTCCCGCTCCTCCTTCTGTTCCTTCTCCTCTCCTCCTCCTCCACCTCCTCCTCCTCGTCGCATTTCTGATCATCCCGATCCTTCTCTCTGACTCCTCCTTCTCCTCCTCCCCCGATTCCTTCTTTGAACATGTTCAAATTAGACTGTGATGGGCTTCATGAACCCCTTTGGTCCCTCAATGCCGATATGCTATCCTCCATGTTGCTTAACGACTGCACTACGGCTGCTGGACACATCGACGTTGCACGACAGGCGAGGATCCAGGCTCTAATGAGGTCGTTGTCATTGAAGCGACGCAAGCTTGCCACGTTCGCCATTGGAGACCCTATTGATCCTTCCCCGCCGTCGATTGAGCAGTTTGCGCGAAATTTGGCCGAGTATTGGAGCGAGGTGCATCACTTCCCTGGGCGTTCTCCCCACCCTGTACCGAATGCGCTTGCTGATTTTGCTAGAGAATCTCAACACGTTTCAAGTGGTAGCTCGTGGGAGCTGGAGGAGTTTGAGCTTCGGTTTGTTATCATGAACCGTAAGGACTCTGCCACGGGCTCCGATAGGATTCCTTACAGCGGTTGGAAAATTGTGGTCTTGTGGTCCAGCACTGTCTCTATAAGGCCTATGTTTCTTTTCTTCGTGGCCATATTCCTCCCGTTGGGTTTAGCAACGGCGTGCTTGTTTTTATTCCCAAGGTTGACGTTTCCGACGGCGAAGCTAAATTTATCTTGGAGCCTGAGCAAACCCGCAATCTAAACTTTCAGCAGATCGGATAACAAGCTCTTGTCGGCGGCCCTTGCCGTCCCCTTCCAGATTCAGACCCCGTATGCGATCGCGTCGTGCCAGCGGGGTTTCATTCGTGGTCGCAATCTCCTGAACAGCGCTGCCGAATTGGAGTCTTGGGTTGTTGAATGGGCTTGTTTTCGTGGGATGGGGTTTCCTGGCATGATGTTCCTGGATATCGCGCCGGCGTTCCCGAGCGTCCTGCATGGGTGGATCTTGCATGTGTGTTCAGGGGCTCGCGGTGACACATCATGTCGTGCAGGCGGCCCGCTCGTTATACCATAACATATATGTACCCGCTGCTCTATGTAGCTATACATTGCTTGGCTATCATATCTTTCTTCGGATGAACCAAGGATGCCCACCCTCGGCTTTGATATTTGTTTTACTATTCGCTCCCGTGGTTCGTGGTCTACGTCGGCGCCTTGAAGGGCACCCAGCTTACTCTCTCGCGTGTGCTGACGAAATCGGCATTGCGACTGGTGATATCTGGAAATCCATTCCCGTTGTTCTTGATTGGACGCGTAGTACCAATTCAGTTACGGGTCTCAAGTTGAACACCACCAAAAGCTGGATTGTGATCGCGAAGGACGGCAACCCCGACATTGTCTCTGGCATCTTAGCTGCATTGGGCACTCCTGTCTGTGAGTTTCGTGTGGGTACCATTGCTAAGTATCTCGTTTTTTTCTTGGCAGCGATGTTATTGACGTTTTTTGGAGAGCCCCATGTTAGAAATTACTTGAGAGAGTTGCTCATATCCAATTCTTGAAAATTTCGATGATTTAGAATACTCGCGCCTAGAATTGTTTGGCATAGCCGGCCTCATCTCGTATCAGCCAGTTCTATAAGATCAACGCCCGTGTCGCCACGGCCGGGCACACTGCCCAGCAAATATTGACGGCCGCCCTTCGGCATGCTATTGCCACGTCTCTCCACAAGAACCTGGACCAGTTCGGCATCGATGCAGTTCCGCGTGACATCACTTGTGGGAATCAGGCTGCTCCTTATCGCGCTGCTGCTCGCAGCTCTGTGTTTTCGGATCTTTCAGTTCGGTTCCATCATATTGAGCACTATGATGTTGACGTTATTGTCGTGCTTCGTACGTTTCAGTGGAGGAACAATTTCGTTACGTTCACTTGGTTGGACAGTTATCGCAGGCTGACCGCCATAGTTCCCCATCTTGGTGACGAGGACACCATTGATGTTCAGAGGAAAATGTTCTGGGTTTTGAGGCCTCGGCGCGAGGTCCCTTCCGTGGCTCTTCTCTTGGGGCATCGTATTCGGTACTTCTGGCCGGATGTCCCTCCCGAGGTTCCTGATGTTGTCGGTTAAGCACGCTGGCCTCTTATGTGGCCGTGTCGCACAGCAAGACTATGTGGAATGCGCGGCCTACTACAAGGCGGCTCCGTCAAGGGACCCTTTCGTGTCCTTTCGGGTGCAAGGCGCTATTTGGTGATGCTGTTGACCACTACCTACACTGTCCTGCTGTTATGAGTCTCCTCCCGAGTGTGCTGCCTCAGTTGCCTGCGTGCTATAGCGTGCGTACCAGACTTGAACATATGTTTGGGATTTTTGGGACCCCCCTCTCCAGTCAGGGCCTTATTTCTGCTGTCCTCGTACACGATATCCTTCTCAGCTCATAGAAGTTTTTAGGAATGCAGGATGGGTACGGTCCTGAGTGCTTGTACGCTCTGTTCAGAGCGCGTGCGCGTGTGCTGGCCCGTCGCAGAGCGGGCATCCGTTTCCTTCTGAAACATCGACGGCCTCAGCCCCCCGATGGGCTTCATCCCGCAGGTAGGCCAGCGCCCACCACCGCGGGGGACTGAACTCGTTTGCCCTCTTCTCGTTCTTGCTTGCTCTTGTCCGCCTGCCTTTTTCTCCTTGCTATGCCCGTGCGCTCCTCCTCCGATTCCTCCTCCACCCGCTTTCCTCAGAAAGAGATGCTCCCGTCCTCGTCGTACAACTAGACGCGTCGAGAGGGTGGGCCCGGCGCTTCGCCCTAGTCTTCCTCACCGCTCATGAGATTGCAGCGTAGATCAATCCAACGGCTGCACGGGTGGAATGCAGACATATTCGGGGCTATTCCGTGAGCATTCGACTACCCATTGGTGCTGTTTTTGGTTAAAGATGCGTGTGAAGGGCGGCCTTTTCCTCTTCAACATGGGATCTCGCATGTCCCATCGTCGAATGAATGCCCGTGGACTTTAGAAAAGTTAAATGGGACGCAGGAGTGTATTGCAGTCGTTGATGCGTCCTGCGCTTACTTTGCTAATCCTCATCGCGTTCCTCCTCCTCCTCCTCCTCCGCTGTCTCCTCCCCCCAAACTCTTCCCCCGCCATCCAGGGGTTCAAGGGTCGAAACACACAATAAATCGAGGTAGCTTCGACTCAACTAGGTAATGTTGCTACGACTCGGTACACGTGCCGTGTCTGCCGCGCTGTGTTTTGACGTGCCCGCATGCCGTGTCGTGGTGTGCCGTGCCACATTGGTTTTGGCTATTCGCACAAATTGCCGTGTTGCGCCCGCGTGGCATTCCGTGCTCGCGTGCCGTGGCGTAGTGTCTCTGGTTCAGGGGATGATTACAACTTGTTACGCAGTGCCCGCGTGCCGTGCAGTGCCGTGTTCGGTATCGACGAGGATGCGGCACAGTTGCCGCGCCGTGCCCCCATGCCGTGACGTGCCGCGTTTGGAATCGAGAAAGCCTCAAGGTGGCCGTGCCGAGCTTGGTTTCGGGAGTGCGAAGCGCTGTCGTGCAGTACAGCGTTTGGTTTCGAAGGTGCGACAAAACTGCCGTGCCGTGCACGCGTGCCGTGCCACACCTTGCCGTGCTGGGTTTCGGGCATGCGGACCAGTTGCCGTGCCGTGCCCCGCGCCGTGGTGTGCCGTGCTTGGCCTCGTGAGCGCGGACACTTCATAGTGCGTCACCGTTCCGTGCCATGTCCGCACGGTGCCCCGTGTCGCGCTTGGCCTGGGACTGCGAACAAGGGCAAACAGGTGCAGTGACGTGCCGTGCCCGCGACTCGCGCTTGGCTCCGGGGGTGCAGCAGAGCTGCCACGCCGTGCCCCCCTTGCCGTGGCGTGCCGTACCCGCGCGCCGTGCCGCGCCGTGCTGCGCAGGGTGCCGAGGGGGCGGCGGAGTTGCCGTGCCGTGCTCGGCCCCCGTGCCGCGCGCGGTCGCAAGAACTGTCGCTGAAGAGTTGCCGTGCCGTGCCGTGTCCGCGCGTCGAGCCGTGCCCGCGCCCGTGTTCGGGTGCGCGGCACGGGTGCCGTCACGAGCCGTGCCCGCATGCCGTGCCGTGCCGTGTCTGACTTCGGGGGCGCGGAAGAAAAGGCGAACGGGCCGTGCCCGCGTGCCGTGGCGCGTTTGCTTTCCAAGGGGGGGGCAGAGCAGTTGCCGTGCCGTGCTTGGTTTCGAGGTTGCGAAATTGCTGCTGTTGCCGTGCCCGCGTGCTGTGCCGTGCCCGGCCGCGCTGTGTTTCGAGAGTGCGGAGAGTTGTGGTGCCGTGCCGTGCCCGCATGCCGCTTCGTGTTGTGATTTGGCTTCGGGAATGGGAACAGTTCTCTCGTCGTGCGGTGCCGTGTTTGGCTTCCGGAATGCGGGAACGGTATTGTGCCGTGCCGTGCCGACCATGTGTCCTATCATGCAGTGTTGGTGTTCAGGGTTTCTGTATGTCGGTGCAATCAAAAGGTTCCAACAGCTGTAAGGATAGATGGTGGTTTCTTTTCAAAGTGTGGTAATCGCCCCAGCGCCGCGCACATTCGCAGTACAAGTTTTCAACAGCTGCGAGGGTTGTAGGTGGCCCGTTTTCAAATGTGCCTGTTGCCTTCATCCGTCCTAACGGTTTCAGCGTTTACAAAGATGGCGGGCGGTTCTGTTTCAAAGTCGGGTTATCGCTTTAGAAATCTTCAGATGTGTTGCCAGACTTGCAGCGTTCTGTAACATCTACAGGGGTGGGGTGGCTGCTCCTTCTCAAGAGCTGGCTCTCCTTGAAACGCTTCTCGAGAGTACGACCTGGCGTACACGCTTGAACGGCACGCGTGGTGATGGGGGCCCGCTCCGTGTTCAAAGCCGAGTTGCCGCGAGTCTGATACTTGAGCTGTCCGATCGTGTGCGGCCGCACTCTCGACAGCTAGAAGAGTGTCGGACGCGTCTTTGTTCGAGACGGGGCCATCGCCCGCATGGCAGGCCCGTGAAGCGTGCTCGCCTGCAAAGGGGGCCGCAGGGAAAAGAACTGCCTGCCGGGACTCATCGCGGGGGGGGGAATTGGGGTAGGAGGGTAGATTGCAGCATCGTTGATGATTCCTGGTTTTTCTCTGGTCCTCCTCCTCATCCACCTCTCCTTCATCCTCCATCTCCTCCCCCTCGGGGAGCCTGGAGAGGGGCAAAATCGCTCGAGCATCATTATTCTCTCATCTCAAACCTCGAGGTCTATTGCCCCCTCCCTCCTCGTCATCCTCATCATCTCCCGAGTTGAAACGTCCAGTCTCGATCCTCGAGCCTCGATTCCTCTACTCCCTCCTCCTCGTCTCCCCTCCCTTCCTCCTCTTATCTCCTCCGTCCTCCTCGTCCTCCTCCTCCTCCTCGTCCTCCTCCTCTTCCTCATTATCCTCCTCCTCCACCTCCACCTCCTCCTCCTTCTCATGATCCGCCTGCTGATGACCTGGGATGTGTACTGGCCCAACTTCAAGATACCGCTGGCCTACACCCTCATCGTAATGCTCTCGCGCAGTGTGCTGGACTCCACCTTCAACCTCGCAAGTGTGTGCTGGTCCCTGTGTGCACGGTGGCCTCGTCCAACCTCATCGACAGCATCCGCGCCACCGTCGGCACATCAACACGGACTGGGCCCTCTTCAAGGTTGACTCCAAGGCCAATTACCTCGGGGTGTACATTGGTCCTGGGACTGACGAACGTACTCAATGGGCTGCTCCTGCCGCGAAGTGGCTACACAGAGCTCAGATCCTCGGGGAGGCCAACTCTCCGATCCAGCAGAACATCGCGCTGTACAACTCATCAGCCATCACCACTCTAGCTTATGTTGGGTAACTCTTTCAAGCACCTGAGATGATACTTAGCCGCGAGATCCACGGGCTACACAAAATGATTCGCTTTGCGCCCTCCGCTTTCACGAAGATGGACAGACATCCTTAGCATGAAGAGCTGGGCTGGAGCTGAAGTGCCTACCGGTGTTGAAGTACTGCTTGGCGCCACGCTCTGGCGCGCGGCATCGACTACCATCAAGTCATGGCCTGGCCTGTACGACAAGCTCTCGGAGGCCGCCACGGAGAACCTACCAATGGTCGCGACGGTGCAAGGCCACTGGTCGGCTCCCTGCTGGGCCACTGCTCTCTCGATGGCTCAACGTCTACACGACGCACAGAACGGTACCGCCTTCCCCCGTGACAAAGGGTCGATGTTCATGATGACTAAGCGCCTCTTGAAGAACCCAGCGCAGGCCCGCAACAACATCCTACTTGCTCATCGACGGGCATGTGTTGCTGCTGTACTCCAACATCGCCCTCCTGTCCCCGTCCCTGGTGCCCCGCAACCCAAGTTCCCGCACTCCAAGTACCTCGCCGAGCTCCAGAAGAACCTCTACCTTCAGCATCACGATTGTGAAGAGGATCCAGGCCTGGTTCCCGTTCCTCTTTGTGGCACCACCCGATGTTGACCCCACCCTCGAGAGCGAACAACACCTCCTCCGTCCTGCAACTCGCGCCATGCTCTCCTCGTGGGTCCCCACGCCGACCCCCGACGAGAACGCAGACGACTACGCCGCAGCTGAACGAGAACTCCTTCTTCTCGCGGAAGTACTAGCTCACTGGGCTGCTGATTGGCCCCTTGACATTTACACCGACAACTGGAACGCCACTGTCCGACGCGAAACGGACTGGATGGATTGGTGCGTGCAGCATGGTCTTCGTCACCTTCGACGCGAAGGCTTTCGCTGCCTGTACCCCTTCCCCTT